TGTGTATGTTTATACAGCCTGGAACCTAGTCCGCCTCAACGGGACATTTGTCCCCCAGCTGAAGATGATAAATTTAGCCAGTGCAGTACAAACCTCTAACCTGAGGTTTTTAACGCGCACCATGCAGTAGTGATACAGGACCACAAGCCGATGCGATGCTCATCCAGATCGAAACAGGCAAAGGTGAGGATTGAACCCAGGATCCCCATGGGACTCCTGGGTCAACGTTACCTGGGTTTTGCAGCGCGAGCTTCCGCTCCACGTGCTCCGAGCTGTTGTGCGCTAGCCGATTCGGCCACCGATCCCCCGACAGCAGGAGTCTGCCAGAGCATGGCGACACTGTTAACCAATGTCTAGATGAGAAATTTATCCAGTGCAGGGGGGCTATGTTGCACTTTTTGCACTCCCAGGAGACTAGGGAGAGGGAAGTGACGTCAACGACACAGCAAACGCAGATTGGGTGTTGATTTCGTTTTCTTCTGTCAACATCCAATCTGCGTTTGCTGTGTCGTTGACGTCACTTCCCTCTTCCAAGTCTCCTGGGAGTGCAAAAAGCGCAACATAGCCCCCCAGTACGACTGCTAGCCTTCAAACGTGCATCATATAGGGAGTATTCACTGGCGGCCATATCCGTGTGCGCTGCTGCTGAGCGCGTGTTGACGGCGAGCTTCCGCAGTCTTTTTGGAGCGTGCATTTAGCACCATCAAGATTGCCTGTCTTAGCAGGCTATTAATGTGAGCTCGTTCTGAGCATGCGCTCTAAACAGCACCCACAAATATGGCGTCCAGTGAATACCTCCTATATAGTGATACACGCTGCAGATGTTGCATTCCGCAGAGCGAGCTTTCGCTACACGTGCTCCAAGCTGCGATGACCTTTTTTTTTTTTTACTTCGCTTGGTGGACGTGGGGCTGCGGATGATTCGAAGAGGACGATGGCCAGCACCTCGGGCCTCGCGCTGTCTCGAGCGCCTGTTCGACCGAGTGCGTGTCAGGAAAGATTTGGCCGAAGACAGTCGCCCGCTGCCGTCGCTCAGGCACCGATTGGTGAGTGTAGCTACGGCTTTTCCGCTTCTGATGCCCGATAGAGGATGCAGCTCGCTACGCTGCGCCAAGTCGGTCTCTCTGAAAGATTTAGCATCGCTTCCAACGTTCTAAACGGCAATGAACTCCAGACAAACCCCGATGCAATGCTTATAAACCGACGCTCATGTGAACGGGTTCGCTTCCACAAGCGGCTGTACTATAGCTATGTCAGAAATAAAATGCTCCCAATAATAAAAAAAATAGAAAGAAAACTTTGTTGGAGGTTTGGGAAGTGTGTCCCTGATCCATGTACCCTCTCAAATTGTGAGTAACCTTTGACAAATAGTACATTTGCTTTATATTTTTTATCATCTTCGGTTTGAATACTAAAAAAAGAGTAACTGCCTAGGTTTTCCCACGTAGCCTGGAAAGTCACACATCAAAAGAACATATTGGCCCAACCAATAAAAGCTCTTGTTCTCTGAGCATGAGCCTCAACCACTCTAAACATATAGGTTATGTAAGTTTTTTTTTTTTTATTTATAGGGACACGGAATGCGTCCAAGAGACATTACATTTATCCGCACGTATTATCTTAATACATAGAGTGGTCGCACGCCTCCATGTGATACTGCTGAGCGGATGTTCAAACAATTTTTTACTTACTGTCAGTCAAGAACGGCCATCTTTATGACTCAACATATGCATGGTGTCGCAAAAAATTATTGACAGAGTTTTCTTCACCGCAAAGATAAACCACCTGTCGCCGAACGCTCATTCACCCCCCAAATCTAGCGCTAGCGGTCCGAAACAGATGCCAAAGTTTGAAAAGTGGAACCGTTATCTGGTTCAAATGGTATAAGTGATTTTCTGAAATGTTCATTGGGAAAATGGCGGCCAACGGAACCCTCGAATACATGGAGCTGAATGGCGCCGGGTACCAACAAAATTTTCAATTGATTCAATTTTTCAACTGAAATGTTTAGCAGATAACATAACTTTTGACTAAGATAACGGTTAGCTATGAAACTTTGACATCTGGTTCGGACCACTATCGCTTTATTTGGGCTGAGAATGAGCGTTTGGGCGGTGCATAGTTTATTTTTGCGTGGAAAGGAGCCCTAATGGTTTGGGGGACATGCTGTACTTATAGGGAGTATTCACTGGCAGTCATAGCTGTGTGCGCAACTGCCGAGCGCGTGCTGACGGCGAGCTTCCACAGTTCTTTTGCAAAGTGCATTCTGCATCGTCAAGATTGCCGGCCCTAGCAGCCTGTGAATGTGAGCTCGTCCTGAGCATGTGCTCCAAACGTCGCCCTCAAATATGGAGTCCAATTGAAGTTCCCTGAAAGCTCGCGTTCGATAGTCGCCGACAAAGCCATGATAGCCAATGACACTCATACCCCCTTTGTTTTCGCGGGCGGTACCTTCGGAGTCTAAGCACGTGCGGCACTCACGTGAAAGCAACAAGATCGGGCCTCTCGGGTCCGTGAATAGGAACTTGGACGGTGGCCGAGGCGGCCTTCTCGCGACCCTCAATTTTGGACAGACGGTGTGACTGGCCGCAATAGCTGAGTTTTTGGGTTGTGGGTATATTTTATACAGCCTGAACTTAGTCTGCCTCAAGGGGCGACTTGCCTCTCAGCTGTAAACAATTTAGCCAGTGCGGTACTGAGTTCCTGTTGGGACTCAATACTGCACTGGCTAAATTGCTAAATTGCTGCACTGGCTTGTTGCTGAGCGCGTACTGACAGCGAACCTCTAAAAAAACTCCCGCAACGTGAATAAACCGATCTCACCAACCACTTTTGGACGCCGCCGCTGCCGAGATGCACGACGGGATATTTAGACTTTTTGCACGTGCAACAACTTCGCTGTAGCTCTGCTCGTGCAGAGTACGGGATGGGACGAATCGCCGCTTTCACTGCCGAATCTCTCTTGTGAACTAAAGTTATGCCGGCGTCACGCATGCGCCGAAGGCTTGGTGAGATCGGTCTATTTCACGCCAGGATTCTCGATCTTGCTAGACGATAAGTAGTTGCTTGCTCAGAGTATGCGCTTGGAACCTAAGAACGTTGCTTTTAACAACGAGTTAAACATATGAAAATGCTACAAGCGCGAACTTCCCGTGGTTCATCGCGCCACGGCCGCATGAGAGCTCGTGCAGCTGGAGCACAAGCATAGCCTCCTCTATACTCACAAAGCCTGGCAGTTCGACGACGGAGCCATAGAGTGCCCGGTCGCAGATTTGGAGAGCGGGGATCTGGTAGCACAGAGCATTTCTCGGAACCTGGACGTCAGCGCACAGCTTTCGCAGCGGCGAGGACCCGAAACATGGTTTTCGAACCCTACGAGAAAAGCGATAACGCGAGGAGCACGAGCAGACATTCCATCACTGCGGAAAAGTGTGTTTCAGCGTCTCGCCGCAGCGGGGAGCCCGTCACGTGGCTGTCCTCTCATTAGTTGTCTGCCGCTCTTCCCCTTTTCGACTGCGGCGGCCTCTCCTCGTGGCGATCTTCCAGGCTTTAATTGTCACGATAGAGGAGGATATGGCACAAGTCAATCGCCATGTCAAGCAGCATGGCGAAAGATTCATATGAGACGCGTTGTCCACTCAGTGCTCTCTGCTCGTCACTGACAAGAAAAGAAAGAAGACAACCGCAAGACAACAAAGAAAATGTCGGAACATCTCCATTCAAGTGGAACGGACAGAAAAAGAAAGAAAGACAGTTTTCTGTTCCTCTCTTTGGGTTTCATTTACTTTCGAATAATATACCTTTTACGAGATTCTCAAGAGGCCGCTCGCGCGCGCAGAGAGCAAAGAATTATAAGAATATCCTGTATACAACCGCAGCATCTATACCTGGCACAAACGATAGCAAGAGAGATGGAAGGTGGCGCAGTTGTTCGCATTCCCTCGAACGCCCGCCCGCGTTACTTCCGACGTCTGCCGCAGACGGTTAGCAATTAATGCTCTCGGCGCCACGGGGGGCGCTGCACGTTTTGCGACAAGCCTAGTGGCCGTTCAGGGACGTCGTCCAACTGTCCAATATAACTCTAAGAAACCTAGGGCGTCTACGTCCCAGCAATGCACATAGAAAAGCCAATTTCTGCAATCTACGGAGGGAGCGAATATCCTAGACAAACTTATGTGTCAAGAATAAAAAAAAAAAAAAAAAGTCTGCGTTGTGGTGCTGAGCATGGTGAAACGTCATGCTAATTGCGACAGCGCAGACTGGTTTTTATGTCTTAACATTCTCAGCCACGTCACTCTAGAGATTTATTACGAGTGTACAACAATGCGGTAGTCAAAGTTACGCTTTTGGCTCGAACAAGCACGTATACGACGCAGCGCGATCAGGTCGTTTAAAGGGGCGGAGCAACGATATGCATTTGGATGTTCTTAACTTTACACGAGCTTGCTGGCACTAGCGGGACACAAATATACTTGCACGCAACGATACTAACAAAAACAAAAAAGTTTTTGTTCTGGAGTAATTTCAAGTACAAACGCGAGCATTTTCTTTCCATCTCTCCTTCGCAAAACTTCATAACATAGCTCGGAGGCAGCTGAACCCGAACATCGTGTGATAATCATTAGTTCGACAAGCATTCGGGTAGTAGCTCGTGGCCAATCACTGCAATGATGACAATAGCCGAACCTGAATGTGTGCAACTCAGCGCGTTTCCTGACTGTTTTTCAACCTAAAAGAGTGGATGTGATTAACTTTGGCGGCATATATTCGGCTCCGGATCACACGGTCGCTTGTTCTGGCTGCGAGTTGAAGGAATAAAGACTGTTCTTCTTTCTTTCTTTCTTTTTATTACTACTACCATTGCGGAGGGAGAAAAAAACTAACGTGTGCTTCGTAGGTTATAAATGTGAAGGGTATAATTGTAAGCGGCATTTGCGCGAAGTACGAAAATCGCTACACCACCCCCGTTTAAATCGTCGCCGTTTCACAGGCGTCCAAAGATGGCCACCTGGACGATGCCCGGCTGGACCAGCGAGGTGAACGACGAATGCGCCTTAGTGGCGAACCAGGTGGCCGACCAAAATTCCTGTCCCACCTGCGACTTCTCCGTTTCGGTCAAGATGGCCCGAACAAACCACGCGGGATCGGTGAGTCGATAACCTGTGATCCCATCTGGAGGGGCCGCATCAAAGTGTACAAACGTAGTGCATGTTCGCTGTGCACGAAACGCAGCTCCGGATGCATCGTGCAAAAAAGACACGGAGTTCGCCGCCGACATGATGACAGAGTTATTGAAACGCCTATTCTCCGAAGCATGTTTGTTTTATGAATATGCATGCTTCAAACATACCAAAAAAAAAAAAACGTTTTTTTTTTTTTTTTTTTTTTTTTTTTTGGGGGGGGGGGGGGGGTTTATGTGAGACGATTGTCGTACAAGGGAGAAACAGACTGTCCTTTGTACGATGTATAAGGAGTATGACCGCGGCTTTACGGTGCTTCGGTCACAAGGCATTTAACCTGAAGCATACTGTATGTACCGCGTGTTGTTTATTGCCACCCATACTTCAACTGCATCGTACTCAAAAAAAGTCCACCTCAACTTCCATTTCACTTTTCGCAAAAAAAAAAAAAAAAAGTCCACCTTTTTTTTTTATTTTTTTATAGTTACGGGTATGGGTTACGATCACGGTGTAAGATAATACTCTTCAGGTGAGGACAGTGCGCTCCTCGCGACGTGCCCGATAAAGTTCGCTCTTCGCTCTCTCTCACTATGGTTTCAAGCGGCGCCGGCAGGTGACTCGTCAATTCGTGGTCACGTACAAGACGGCTCGTGCCGCCTCATGTTCCACACCTCCTCCAGCGAGCTCCAGCGAGGTTGTCGCACGTGCAGAAAGTCCGCGGTGTACCGGGGTGTCATGGCAACGAGATCATTTTTTCGCTTTCACAAAGTTTCGCCATTTGGCCGCCGGCGGCACTGTCAGCCGCGGGCACGGTGGCAGCGGAATGATGCAGCCTTTCGGATGCCCGTCGAACGAACACTATCTGATTCCCCGCGCCGCGCGTTCCGCCCCGCCGTGTCCTCACCTAACGAGTGTATCTTACACCGTGGTTACGATTCAGAGTAAAGACACTTATGAAATATATATTGTGGATTAAAATCATCGTTGCCAGTTATCTAAAGTTTTATTTCCGAAAAGAAAACTCTTTCCCGTCTTCCAAAAGGATTAATGAAGTCCGAAAGAAAAAGAGCAACACGATATTACCCGATTTCTGGCATCGTGTCCAAAGTCTCTGCGAGTGACATTTTCTAATCATAACTGTCGCCAATGGCGTCCGCTTCGCACTAGAGGTGACCAGAGCCGTGTATAGAAAGAGTTTGGTCAATGGGAGGCGCGGGCAGAGCTAGGGCGTGCGTCAGGCTCGGAAAGAGGGCTTGGCATGCTTTCTTGACCAACCAGAAGCCGAAAAGAGTCCCCCGGTGGTAGCGAGAAACAGTTCTGATCAAAGGTATATGTTCGTATATGGATTTAATAAGCGCGTAGGAGTGAAGTATAGTTACCCTTCATGGTTGAAAGTAGAATGCACGTGATGTTTGGATCATGATCACGCAGAAAGATGTAACAAACGAATGCGCCGCTCAACTCTGTTTTGCTCGGACAGAGTGCGACCGCACGGACGGCAGATTCCCGGCCCTCGGCGCAAGGATTAAGTCGATCGTTCCACTAGTCGCTCTCTTCCACCATCATTTTGGATGAGCGTGATTGAAACATCACGTGTACCATATTTTCAGTCACCGAGAGTTACTCCGATGCACTTATCAGGTTTGTTTCTCGCGACCACCACCAGGGTATTATTTCCGGCTTCTGGTTGGTCACATTTGAATTTCTGAAGACGCCCTAGAACACGCCCAGCCCGCTTTCGGCCAATGGCGCCTCCTTATTTGCCACCGATACTTCCCAACGAATGGTTAAACTCTCTACATATAAGGCTCTGGAGGTGACAAGACGGCAGCACCCACGAGACGACCGGCGAATGGACCAGCATCCAGAATTTTAATTACGGCGCGGCGCCTATGTCACTATAATTGCTTCGTCACACCACAAAAACCTCGACTGGGGTTGAAATCCGTCAACTGAAAATCCACTGGAAGCAGTAATTTTGAAGAGTTGGGCGTTGATCTTTCTATGTTTGCAGTTTGATAGACTCGTGCTTCTCTTTCCCCTAACACGGCAAAAAATGTGCAACGCTGTTGCCAGTGGTACGAAGAACACTGACGACACGAACGCGCTGATGAACGTTTATCACGGATGACCAACAGAGTGTCAAGACAACCACGGGAGTTTGCTTTTTTTTTTTTTTCTATGTTTTTGTTTGGTTCGATGTTTTTGTTCTTGATATGAACCTGGTCAATCATCTAGCAGAGAAATACCCGAAGCTATCCGCGCATCCTGTGCAACAGTCTCTCTGCAATTAAGAAAAAAAAAAAAAACTCTTAAAGCTCTACGATATGTTTTGTGCTTATGCATTCAGCATCACATCTGCACAGTATTGTCTCTTCGATCTATCCATTTCCTTTTGGTGACGTTGCTAATTTCTGCATTCACCACGTTGCCAACCATTGTATTACGGCTGACCTATATCGCGTTAATTCGTGACTCTGGAGAACCAAGTGTAATAAATGAGTCGGGAAGAGTTCTTCATATGTACCCTCAACGAACCTCTTCGTATCTAAATGCAAACCCAAAATTAATTTTACTACTTCTTGAACGGGGTATCCTCGGACATTTTGCTGTAAAGTTGCGAGCGTATTCATTTTTCCTGCCTGCGCAATCTATGACTACTGTGCAACGTTTGCAGGACCGGCTTCCATGTCTAGGGGAGTTGACATCGGAAAAGTCTTACCCGTCCCTCGAGTAAGTCGTTTGTCATTCTTTAGGATCGCTTACCTAAGTCAGTCTCAGGTTAAGCTCGTCCCACAAGGCCCTTCATTATTTCCACTTTAGCAGAGCGAACGCTAGAGAGGAAGTGGGTGGCGAGAAGGAAACAACCAATCGTGGCGAGCCGGGAGCTTTGTGGAAGGGGCTTGTCCTGCTTTTCTTAATCTGCAACGTACCATAGTGTGACCGCTTTCGTTAATTCGTAACTGCACCACGTATCTTGCTGCAGCGAAGACAGTATCCTGGACGCCGAACCGGACAACTCTTACACGCCCGGTGCCTTGATACCAGGAATTTCCGAAGTAGATCTCCCGAAGCAAACCATCACCGCCGATCCCCTAGGTGGGCGTATAATAAGCATCTCTTTAGCACGAGCGACAATTCCGGCTCAGCAACACTTCCTTTGACTTCCTTCTCCCAAGACTCTGACTGACTGACGAGCGAGAACACCCGCCTCGCATTTCGACGAGAAAACAATATTGCGATTTTAGCATCATGAATGAACGTTATGGACATTATGTTTACGTTCCTCGCTTTTTTCCAGTGATAGAAAGTTTTAGTAAATCGCTCATGTGCTCCGATAACGATACAATGCACGCGCAAAGCTATGCGGAGCGCAATTTCATGTGCTTCTTTTGCAGGAGTTGTGGTGACGTCAGAACACCGAGGTCTCATTGGCTCTGATTGAAGGATAGTGGGTAGACCTCAGAGCAAGCTGCCCCTGAGGTCTACCACTATTCTTCAATCAGAGCCAACCGGCGTTCTGACGTCACTACAACACCGGCAAAAGAAGCAGACGGACTTGCGCTCCGCGTAGGCGCTGGCGGAGTATTCGGTGCGATTGTCGGAGTGATCGAAGCGATCTATTAACGCTTCCTAGATGACATGTAAACAACGGTGATCGTGGGGCTAAGATTTCCCGTATTAAGTATGGTTGGAATATGGCCCGGGCCAAGTTACGTTCACTCCTGCCACTCGGGCTACGGAACCGATATCGCAGGTTTCGTTCTTATCGCGGTCAGCTATGTCACTGAGATAATGAAAGCGGCGTGTTTTTGGGTTGCACGGCCTCCAGCACGCGCTCATTGCCTTGCACTCTGCTAAAGTGACTGAATTAAAACTGGCGAATCTACTTTCACTCCTCGATTTATAGCCTGGCGTATTGTTTACAACGTTAAAAAGATTAAGAAACTTCCCACCGTAAACAGTCCGTATTTGCTCGTCGTCCTCTGCGCAGATTTGAGCCTGACCGATGGCGACGAACCAGAACCTGTGCAGTTATCAAAACCTCTGGAAACTATCCCAGAAGATCCCGATCTTGAGGCCCAAAGCGCGGAACACGACAAGGAGAGGGATCCGGAAGAACTGAGCACCCACATGGAGGACGAACCCGCACCACTGGTTTTCGCATCGCTGCCCTTCCAAGACCGAGAACTGCCCGTGGAGCCCACGCTAGAGGCATCGGAACCCCGGCTGCAGCCGCTCACGCAGACCGTCTCGGAGTCCGCTGTCAGGGCGGCGACCAGTGACACGTCCGTTAAGGCGGACAAGTCTACGTCCACCGTGGACATGGTCATCGTCGACGAACCGCCCAAGTCAGATCTTCCACCCGTGGAGGGCAAGTCGTCCGGCGTCGTAATTCCCTTCGGATTCCAGAGGGTCGGCGCTCGCTCCAAGACCACCGAGGCGAGAATGAGTTCTCCGGAGAGGGGCAGGAGGGTCACCAAGTTCCTGGAGAAGTTCCACATGGCCGAAGGAGGTGGACAGGACAGAAAAGCCCTCGCGCAAGACACGATGCTGTCGTTCCCGCTTCCGGAGGACATCATGAGCCTCGAAGGCGTCACGAAATCGGGGGATAAAGTGAAGACGGAAAAATTCGGCGAGCTATTCACCAAACATGCGTTAGTTTTTTTTTTTTGTTTTGTTGTTTTAGTTTGACTCTACTCCGTTTAACTACGACCACAACCAAGGCTACACAGTCTGATGGAGCCAATCAAGCAACGCTAAAAGTGTGTCCTCATGGCACTCGTCGTCTTTGTGCGTCTGCTTATCACCGACCAATCACGCCCAGTAAATGCAACGCAAATCTCTCTTTTTTTTTCTTTTTTTTTTTTTTTTTTTTGGGGGGGGGGGGGGGGGGGGCTTAGCCGTTGATTGCTAGCCTGATTGGTTCCACAGAATCGTTGACTGCGGTAGGACTTCAATGTTTTAGTCATTCCTATTTTGGCTTCGCTGTAGCTGTCAGAATATTTCCGTTTTATTTGTCTGCTTACAAACAAACACCCAGTGGTGCTCCGTTTGTGAACAAAGTATTCAAAGTACTCGCATTTTGCACTTGTATATCATTCAAGTCAGAGTGGCTGGTGTTGGTTGCGCGATATGTACGTATACTGAAAGACGAGTCAGTCGTAAAGACGTTGAGGAAGTTTAAGCCTGAGTGCAGCGCCAGCAGACATCCGTATCGCTGATGATTTCTTGACTCGTGCACAAATATGACTGTAGCGCATCCCGCTGAGGAGGCAATACTAATGTTACGAAATATACCAACGCCGACGTATCGAGGAAACAGAAATTATTGTTTAGTGGTTGAGATGTACTGCACTGAAAATGAGCGCGATCAGAGCTACTATTTAGCTGCGATAAGAGCTATAGGATAACCCCACCCTGCTCTTTCATGTAGTGTTTTTTTTTTGTTTTTTTTATTTGAGCAGCAGGTTTTCTTTTACCGCAAAAAACGTGGAAAGGCGGCCACCTTTCAGTGCATTCTTTCACGTGCACGTTTTTCCTGAAAATGCCTTCATATCTTCTTACGCATCTCGATCATTTTCACGCGTGTGTACTTGATCCGAACTTGGGAAACACTAAACGTATGACGTTTTTCTAAAAAGTAAACAATAACGGGATTTTTTTTTTTTTTTTTTTTTTTTTTTTTTGTGTTTCAGGAATATTTCTTGCGATCACAACTTACGAACGGTAAGCTAATTTTTGAAAGCTTATGACATTTCGCGCAGTGTAGAATAATATGAATGACTGTAAGCCATTCTCTCATTCAAATAAACTAAATTTACGAGTTTAAAGATAACATATTCTTAAAGCAACTATACTTGGGGACAACTTCTCGTTTGGCAATGAAGCCAAAGCTATGGTATATTCAATCCCAACTGTGCTCGCGCAGTCTTCATTTCTTCGGAAATGCCAGAAAAAGTTGTTTCCGAGTGTGCTCCGATATACTGAGGGAGAAGAGACGAGAGCTCGCAATGACGTCAGATTGCTGCGCTCTGGTTGGAATGAGTAGTGGGTAGACCTAAAGATAGCTGCCTTTTTCTCCATGGCACTCGTCGAAAGCGTTAGCACGCGGAACGCCGGAGTCCGGAGTTTGGCTCTCGCATTCGAACGCGCTCAACGAGTGCAATGGAGACAAGGGCAGCTAGCTTCAGATCTACCCACTAATCATTCGAACCAGAGCGCAGCGTTCTGACGTGTCCGCGCATTCTCGTTTTCCCCTCTCCCTCAGTTTCTCGGCGCTACACTTAGTCTCAATACATCCGTGAAACATTGTAGAAGGTACGGACGCGCAGTTTTATAGGGCTCTTTCCTATCGCAAATGCCCGCGTATGTTTTGTCTCTCACTTGCGTGCCCCTCGCATGTGCTCGCGCAACTATATAGCTTTGACAGAGCTGGGTCACCGCGGAGGCCACGCTAGCCCTGACAACGTAACAAAATAGTTCACGCCGAGTATCGGCACTGCGGCTTTGATGGCCCTTCACGGAACTTCTGACATCAATTTTCCCTTTAAGGATATAATTAAACAAACTCTACAAACCCGCAAGAATTTTCATCGAGTTGTCGATTCGAATTTCGCCAGGTTACGAAGGCAATTTTGTTTACTTCTTTTTTTTAGATTATACGGTTAACGAGTGAATTACGGGTGGGTATAAAAGCGGATTCAGCGAGTGTCCGTTTTTTTATCGAAAGATAATTAAAGGGACAGCTTGCCTCATCGATCTCAAACTTTGAACCGCTGCGAAATCTTCGTCCATTTCAACAAAGATTATACAGCCGGTGCCATTTTAGCTGCTCGTGCGCATGACGCATGCTATGGTCACTTTCCAGAGCAACAAACATGCATGCACGTGCTGAGCTGTTGAGATCGCACGCTGGGCTGTGAATTCGTAAACATTGCAGGGGGTGTACACTGTAGAAGAACTTGTAATCGGGCTAGTTGGTGAACGTTTTGAAACATGGTTCAAGGCGCAAAAACACAACGAATACAAGGACACAAGGGCTCTTGTCTGTGCGTCTTCTTCCTTGTGTCCGGCATTTTTGCTTCTTGTTATATGCTTTCTAAGAACATGTATACGGAGAAAAACTGAGACAGAAGGAGGTTAGAGTGCGCGGGGTCGTCAGGGCGCCTAGCTCTTATCAGAAGGGTAGTGGATAGACGCGAAGGATAGCAGCGCTTGTCTCTGCTCACTGCCTCCTTCCAGTCAAACGAACAAGCCCGTTGTCTGCTTCTCGCGCCTTCGGGCGTTCGAACGCCGAACGCTCCAACTCTAGACTCTGTGCGGGGGGGGGGCAGACGACGCTTTTGTTCGCTTGATTGGAGGAGGCATAGTGCGGAAGGGCAAATGCTGCCAGCCTCTGCGTCTATCCACTATCCTTGCGATCAGAACCCGGCGCTCCGTCAAGTCATATATAACACGGCCTGTTTGCTCCGAAGCAAGATGTTTGTTTTGTGCGCAAAGTTCGGCGGAGTGATCTCTATAGTTCGAACTGACTATACTCGAATAACGAGCTTCGAACTCCTTTTTGAACGAAGATGGAAGATCACGAAGAAGACGAGGTCTGTCAGGACTACGATCATCTACCCATCCGGACACGCATGGACATCTGGAAAAAGAGAGAACACCGAGCCATTCAGCAGGGCTTGTGAGTTGACGCAGCGAAAGCTTCAATGCCCGTTCACACTGAAGGCTCGTTCACGCAGTCGCATTTGGCTGCGTTAACACTGCTTGCGTCGAGCAGTTGCTATGGAGACCGTTCCAACGAGCCAATGAGAAGGCGCTGTGCCGCACGACGCAACGCCGCGCGCATCGCAGCCGACTCCACTGTGTCAACAAGCCTGGCTCGTTCACACATCAGCTCTAACTCAGCACTACCCCCACCGACTCAATTATCTGACGTGACGCACTGCGGTAGCACTGATGTCGGCACTGCGTAAGCGCATAGACGCTTCGCTTCACGAGAATCTGGTTTCTGGGCATGGACAGTGCCCATACCTGGTACGGGCAAACGCTGACCTGTTTGTGAACAGTGTGTTGGTCCGTAGACAAAGCTCCTACTTATTTTAGCGCTGTGTCAGCACGCGACACCGATTTTGCTTGCTTACACACCCAGTGCTAACTCAGTGCTGACAGCAGCGCTCATCCAGCGCTGCTTTGCGTTATCTCAGCGCTGAGATGCACGTGTAGATAGCCAGAATTTAAAGGAACTCGGACGTAACTTCGCGGCTTTACTGATTTTGTGAAGCCAAGTCACTAATAATGCGCATATTTACCGAAAAATAGAGAGATCCAAAAATATGAATGTCAAAATTTCATTTTTTTTTTTCTGGAGCTTTTATGGAAGCAAAGCGTTTTGCGTTTTTACACTCGTACTTTCTACAGCACTGCTCACTAATATGAGATCGATAATAAAGTATGCCTACAATTATCATTTATTATGGCAATTTGGGTGCTTTATTTGCTTGATTTTGAGACATTTCTCGAAAGACTCTGTTAAATTATAAACTGTCGAAACAAAACAAAACAAACATTTTTGTTGCTGCACCGGTTTTTATTCTATGTAAGAGGTAAAAGCATTTCTAAACTGTACTCTCCGACAGATGATCGCTGCTATATTCTGCTTCTTGATAATTTGAGAAGCAACAGGAGAGGCGGTACGTGGGAGCGGGCCACGCAAAAGCTCCTCTTCACGGGAGCGTCCTCCGGCGCTGTGCGGTCACGTGCTTGGCTTCGACGCTTTCATTGGTCCACCAGGGTCGTAGCTTTGCTCGTTTCACAAGTATTGCGGAAACGGAGTCTAGGCAAAGGTCGGACAGTAGTAACTGCAGCCCGAAAGGATAAAAAAATGGGTCGACATTGAGCGATATAAAAACCTAGATCATTGTTTCTGTATAAATTGCTGGGGGAAAGGAGAGTTGTTTTTATTCTGCTTTCTTCTCTTCTTTTCGTAAGGATCCTGATTCCGAAGCTAGTGAAGCAAGGGCGTTTTCCGATCTCCGCATGGTTCTGATTGACCTGACCTCGGATCTTCATCTGGCTCACCTTATACGAATAAATCGACGAATAAAGCCTGGTTTGTGCGGCAACAGTGTTTTGTGTTACTTTTCAGTTCTCAAGAATCGGACGATGTGGCGGCGCTCCACTGGAGGCAAACATTGAGACGCGACGTGTTTTTCAGCTATCGTTTGTAACACGCGTTTGTTGCGTTCCCAACAATGTTTGTATTTGGAAGAGTCACAAAGCTCAAGTTGTGTCAACGAAGGCCAAATTCAACATTGGACCTGCTTTCTAGTAGTCCTCCACGCAAGAGCCTACTCTTGCTCCTAATGTGCTGCCGCCATTACCGGAGGGTAGCCACGCTAGCAACGTTACTATACTTCGTCTCACCTTAGCATGGATTATTGTTAGCCGCGCGTGCCAAAAGCCCGAGCTAGTTGCTTTGGATGAAGACTCGGCGACTGCACGAGCGCTCGTGCAGCGAGTGCTCCAGTCAAGGCAGTCGAAGCTAGCCGCTCGCGCTTGCACAGCGTTCGCAGTTAGTACGTGCTGAGGTGAGATGAAGTATATACTGCGTTTCATCTTATGGTGTACTGCAGCGAAGGCTAGCAGCACGAGCTCATAGCATTGGCAGCTGCCCTTAATGCACGAGGCCTTGTGCCGCCGTGATGTGCCCCAGAGCAAAGAGCTCGCGCTTGTAGCCTTTTCTGCGGTACATCATAAGGTGTACCGCAGCGGCATTCTTTCACCGGGCGGCATTCATTCACCGGAGGAGCGCGGGCCGCTGCAGTTGCTGGCGAAATAAATGGTGCTGCCATCGCCGCGAGATTGGTTCTCTCCGCGCAGCATGAAGCGTTCCATCAGATTCACTGCGAATCCTCAGCTAGCGCCGTAGGAGCGCTGATGATGAGCGATTGATGACCATTGATGATGTACGAGTAATCAGGATTAATGTCGTCGAGCTGAAAATGCTAATCGCACATAGTTCCTTTATGTGAGCGTGAACATTTTCCCCGGGGTCGTGTTCTGCCATACCTTCAGGCGCACAGCATCACCCTTCGGAGCGCTAAAGAAGTGGCGCTTCTCGTCACTTTTTGACGCCTGCGAGGCTCACCGCTGTGACAGCAGCGAGCGCAGCAGGTCGGCGTGCTTTCTCTTTGATTGGAGAACGACTAAAGTTCCCGACACCAGAGAAGAACGCTTAAGGCCTACGACGAGCCACCGATGAGACGAGCGAAGACACGAGGAAGAACGACGACAACGAGACACCGCCGAGAGTCGATTCTATAGGGCAGGGGTGGCCAAGCAGCGGCTCTTCGCGTGTTAAAATGCGGCTCGCGGCTCTCTCCCCTGCCCCTACCTCCCCCCCCCCCCCCCCCCCCCCTTACCCCCAACTCCCCCGCCTCCATTCCGATCACACGAGCAGTTCCCCAAAAAAGGAATGGAACGCGTTTTAAATCGATTGACAAGTTGCGGTTTGGTAGTCTTGAGAAGACGAAGAAGCTTCAGCGTTAAGCTACCATATGTACAGATGGACTGCTTTTGACTCGGATAGATTGAAAGTAGTTCGAGTTTCGTTTATTGCTCTGGACAAAAGTCCCCCCCCCCCCCCCCCCCCGGCTTTTGGAAATTTCGTGGTTTTGTTTGCGGCTCTTAGGCTGGGTCAGCCTAGTCACCCCTGCTACTGGGTGACCACAGCGCATACATGGGTAAATTACTTCCAAAATGTAATTTAATTACAATTACAATTACTTTGCTCCAAAGGGTTGTTCAACTACAATTACAATTACTACTACGAGAAAAGTATTTTATTACAATTACAAATTACTTTTAAAAAGTTATGCAATCACTTTACAACTACTTATTTCTAAGAGCGATACAACTTGGGATATATAACTTTAAACGGGTCGTTTAGGATACAACGTATTCGTTCATTACTTGACCCAATGTTTGACGAGGCTTAAGCATCGCTGTATGAATGTCACGTATTGTACTTTCCTTTTATGCATTTTGTTAAATAAATTATAGAACTTGACAATTTGGAGTAAGGAAGTCCTTCGTTCTGATATTTTCAATAAATAATAATTTAGTTCATATACAAGACGACGCCAGGTTGCTAAAGTAAAATTGGGTTGACAGCACTTTTCTTAGCCAGGCAAATAAAAATGCGACAATTAGTGACATCTGAATGCTTAATACTATTAATATAAAACTACCATCCACGCGCGTTAATACGACCACATTCACCTACAAACGTTTCATGTTATTGTAAATTATTTACATTGCGTTGAAATTATAACGGCTCAGAAAAATATTAGAGCGGAATCGGGGCTTCCGAGTCAATGGTGACAATATTCACGGGTGCGAGGTCAGTCTCTAAAATGCTTATGTAAATAATGGCTGATGTAAAGCCAACAAGAAATAAACTTGAAAATAATACAAAGAAATAAATATGCGAAAGCAGTGAAAGCGGGTCGTAAAAGACTGGCAAAGAAAGAAGAAAAACAACTTCCTAGACAACCAAAATCCCCAACCACGGCTGAAAGCTGAAGATCAATTTGTTTTTCTCAATATGTTTGCATGTTTACTGTTTCGGAAGCCATGTGTTTACGTTACGTTTTCTGCTCGCACCGCAAACGGCGCCAGGAAGGCTTCAATGAGGATTGAACAACAAACAACGCGACTCTATTTTTGTTGTGCGTGTGTGTGCGTGTGTGTGCGAGCGCGTCACCGAGCGCTAGGTCGCTTGTGCGAGCGCTGAGGCTTTCAGAGTGGTTCAACTGTGCTCCGTCGCACTAAAACTGCGCAGTGCAGCCAAAGCTACAGGGGAGAGACGCATACATGGTCGTCGCCGGGGGTAAAGGGGGGGGGGGGGGGGGGGGAAGAGAGCGCCGGCGATGCAAAGTTATGCAAAAGTAATTGCAATTGTGCCTGAAATTTTGCGATAACGGGCTCTAGAAAGTAATTAAATTACAATTACAATTCATTTTAACCAAAAGTAATTCATTACGATTGAAAAAACCAAAAAGTAATTCAATTACTGTAATAATTTAATTGCATGCATACCAAAGCGCCACCTCTCGCGCGCTCTACGATATGGAGCCACGCCGGGAAGCGAGTTTTCAAAGTGACTTCTCTAGCAACGTTGCACGCCAGTCCCGCCGTGGTAAAAGTAGTAGCCAACGTAGTTTAAGCCGTGGGCGGTTGACTTGTTTTTGTCCATGTAGCAATCTAGCAGCATTGGTGACACGGCGAAGCATCAGCACTGATTACTTTCCTCGTTCCACGGCTTTCAAGGAACACCATATGTATACTGATATTACGCAAAGACACCGTTCTCTTGCTTCGCAGTTGGCTTTTCAACTCGAAGGGAGAAAAAAGAACGGTATAGTCGCTTGCGTTAGCATTAGTAACCATATGGGGGTCAGCATTAGCGTTTCCCAAAGACGGACCTGTGTGGCGTTTCCCCAGGGTCGTGCTAACGCATTCCCTAAGGATCCACCAATGGATCTTCCTTGAATGTTTTCCCCCCGTTTTGCCCAACATACATGCCAATCAACTACCAAAAATTATATCACGACTGTTCACCAGGTGATCAATGCCGAGGTTCGTCCTGGCAGCCGATAAATAATTATGCTCATATATACAACGCGTGTGGATGACGAAACAATAATGTCATCAGCCTTTGGGAGATACTTTCTTGAGAAAAGAACGCATGGAAATATTTCGGGTATGCGACAGACCATGTAAATACCCTTCATTAGCCCTTGTTGTTCTTTCTAAACGCTTTTCTTTTCTTTTTTGCCTTCGAGATTTTTTTCTTTTTTTCTAGAGTTTGGTGTAAAAACGTTTGCGAAAAATTTAGTGACAAAAATACTAACGAAGTAAGAAATAACTACTGAATGAAAAGTTCGCTTAAGACGATATGATTATAAAGGCAATAAATATATTTAATGCACTAATTATAAAATTCGCGTAGTTCTTGGCAAGTGCGTGGCTTCTCAAAAGATCGAGAGAAAAATACACGACATGGCAGTTGCCAGAAGAATTATGATAACGAGACAGAGAGAGAGAAACGAAGAGAGAAGTCACTTTTTTTTACGATAATGAAAGTAAAAGAAAGCTATGACTTACGATTTACGGAGGGTGATTGTGTGTTTATTTTGGAAGTGAAGGAAGGAATACACTTCATTTTGCCCATATATCATTCTCTGGGTGGTTCTGTTAACCCAGTACCCCAACTCTGTCAGCTGCCAGCCTCGCCCACTCGATAAACTTTAGTTGGTCGCCAGCCGACGAGCTGAACAGCATTTGGGAGTGCCCTCAGTTTGCATTTCTCAGAGAAACTGCTAGACGGCACTAGACGGTCGAGTGCGATAAAACGAACCAGTCTCAAAATGCAAGAGCTTACGCTTCTGACCAATCGGGCATGCAGTGCTCAGTTTTCACCGAAAGAGAGTCTTCTGGTTCTATTTGGGACAGCGATTAAATAAAAAAAAAGTAATTGCCCACATTATGAGGGGTATCGGGGGCTATAAAACAAGTCTGACCTCTCATCCAAAAGTGCGAGCGAATGAAAATATTTGACAGAGACACTTAAGACTGCTTACGTGTAGGAATGCTTTCGCACTCCTACACGCATCGCATTCTTATAAGCAGCGCGTCACGTCTTCCTATCGCATACGGCGCTGCGGCGGCGACATCACGCTTCCCCACTGCGCAGGCGCGGCGAACCTTGCCGGCTTCACGACGGCTTCTGTGACGAAGCATTCGCGTTTCTGTGCTTTTGTTTGTGGCCCGCGTCCGCTTTGACCTTGAGCGCACCCTTCGGCTTCCGTGACGAGACATCTGCGCACTGCTGTGCTTCCGCTTTAAACTCGAGCGGCCGTGCTGTCTCCCACGATAAAGCATCTGATATGACGCGTCGCAGTCAATTTAGGTGCCGTTTTGCGCGGTTACGGGTTTTTGGGTTTCGTTTTTGACGGTTATAGACGCCGTCGGCTCCACTTCATAAAACAGTTAAAGAGCCACTGAAAAAAAAAAAAAAAAAACAGACTGGTTGGGACACGCGTGTCGAGAAATAAATTTTACACGAAAAAGAAATTGAGAGCAATATTGACGGCGCGAGATTTATTTTAAATCCTGCGCAAAGTCTATGACGTCGCGGAATGGTCATACACTCTTTCCATCTCAACGAGATGGTCATACCCCTTCTCCACCTCAACGTGATGGCCAAGCCGATCCGCCTCTCCTCCAAGCGCCCGAAATGCCGAGAGAGAGAGAAGTGGAAAAGAGGCGACTTCCGACTAAATTGCGACTCGCGCCGTCTGAATTGCTCGATTTTTTTTTTTTTTTTAACATTTATTTTTTGACACGCGTATCCCCACCAGACTGCACAAAAACAACATTTTATTTCTTCATCTTTTCTGTGGTTCTTTAATGTTTTCACATTAAAACTACAAGGGCGAGCACAACGCTTTGAGCGTGACCCCTCAAGCACGCGCGCTTGTGAAGTGAAGGCGTCATTCGACACATTATGCTCGTGCTTGTAGCATCGCCTTCGCTCACATTAATGGTGAAACTAACCATACACTGTAGGATGCTACGTGACTGCATGTCCTCCGGCACCTCCGGCAGTCTCGGAGGCTTATGCGCGGTTCTTCGAAGTCTCCTTCTACTTCGAAAGAGGGCGCCAACCGCCACATGCGATCCAAGCAGACGATCGTTGATTGTGACGTCACGGATGACGTCGGCGTCTCCAGTGGAAACGCTACGCAGCACGGAGCGGGCCGATAGCGGCAGGACGGCGTGGGCAGCAGCGGCCCAGGGTTACGTCGGGCGATCGGCCGCCTCCATTCATGCGACCCGAGCTGGCGTTACGGTCGCCCATGGCCGCCGGGCAAACAATCGTCATGTTGCTGCTGGCGTCGCTGCCGCTACTGCTCGCTTTCCTCACGCTCGCCGAGGCCGCTCAAAATCCGCCGGGCTCGCTGTCCAAATTCGAATTCAAGCATCACGACAATCGGGAACTGGAGCTCGAGCTTCGCAAGATTGTGATGGCCTGCCCCGATGTCGCGAACATGTACGAGCTCCGTGAGCGCAGCGTTCTCGGACAGCCACTGTGGGTGATCGAGATCACTGATAACCCTGGGGTTCACGAGGAACGTGAGTACCTTTCACCAGCCGCGAGCGCGCGCGCGGTTTGCGTGGCCTTTTGAGCGCGAGAGAGTGGAGAAACATTTATCTTCATCTTTAAATTAACTTCTTTGTTTTTTCACAACGACGCCTTAAATATAATTATCGATAATTAAAGGGGTGTATTCTAGATAAGACGGGCACTTTTCGCGAAAAAAAACTTCATGCTCTCGAAAAACAAAATTTTGAAGATGCGGTCTCCCGAAAGTCGGCTTCTCCGCTGTCACAGCTGCTCTGTGGTGTAGCGCATAACGATGCTAAGGCGTCGGACAGTTGACGCAGCTGCGAACAGATGGCGGCGTTTTCTCGAAAGATTTACAATCTTCCCTTTTGCTTTTTGCATACCGGGAATAATTTAGAGATATTAAACGTTCGTAGAAACGGTGTGTTTTGAAGAGCGTCGCTGGCGGAACGCTTTCGTGGTCTCTGACGGGTCGATACCCAGAAGGCATGTGACAGCCATTATTAGAACGACGAGCGAGAGCCGTGCCGTATGGAGGGCATATTTTACGGGAGCAGCTGATACCGTATACCTGCGGTAGGAAGGAAGACACTGGGACGAGCGTCTGAGCGAACCATTGTCTCTAGCAGGGAAAAGATGGATGTCACAGACGCTCAGAACAAAGGCCGGTTAGTAGTTGCTCTGTTTGCTGTTCACTTACTTGGGCTGTACGACCGTTGCTGGGGTACATATTAGAGCGCGATTTGAATAAGAAAAGCTGTACTATGTATGAATTTTCAGTCCGTTCAATTGAAATTCAGCTTCTTTAAGGTTTCGGAGTTCAGGCAGTGGGAGGGGGGAGGGGGGATTATTTGGGCAGCGTGAAGTCCGCCTGCTTTAAAATGTCATATACGGCAGCTTGTCTGGGGTCGTGTACCACGCCGTTGTGAACTCAAAATTGTATGAAAATCGGAACATGAGAAAATTGTTCTACACCCTTTTTCGAAAAAATATGAATCGCACGATCAATTTTGCCGCAAAGAAATCTCATATAGAGTTTCGTTGAAAGCATATTCGCGATTTCTGAAAAAAACATATTTTCCACGTCCGGTGTTTTTAATGCATGGTTCGTAATTATTTTAGGGCCGTGTTTTCGGGAATGTGTTGGAGCCTTTTCACTCGTCCGAATATGGGAATTGAACTCATGAAGTATGAGAACGTCAATCTCAGATCTACATGCCACTGAGGCACGATGCGTTAGTTATTGAATTTTAAAATTAGGGGCCTCAAATATTTTTGTTTCCATCTGCGCGTGAGCAGTGCGGCATCCTAAGCTGTTCGGGGGACACAAGGACCTGGGACCCCCTATTCTAAAACTCCTTCCTCTCTACGATAGAGATTTTTCATAGATCGTACCCTACCCAAAAACCCAATATAACTTTTTCGCTATCTGGATTATGGAACAAGAAATCTAACTGGAATCGTTACTGGGAACCTGAAATACAGATTGCAGACAAAGGACTAATTTCTGAAAACCTAAAATTCAAATAGAATCCAATAAGATTTCCAGTTCCATAATCCAGATGGCGAAAAATTATATTGAGGTTTTGGGGTAGGGTAAGCTGCGAATGACGAGACCTGCGGGCTCGAGCTTCATTCGTGCTCAGTGTGATGGCACGAGCTCCCGCTATTGTCCGCTAGCAACGCAAAACCCTTGCGAACGATTTACGAACGGTCAAATGAATAAACGAGGTCACGTTAAAATTAAAGATAGGCCAAGGTTAAATAATATTTATAGACGGCTGTACGCTTTTACTTCGGCGATGGCTTACTACGCCTATAGCCAATGCTTCGAAGAGAAAACGAGGATCTTTAAAATAACAAAACGAAAATTGCGAAATCGTATATTAAAAAGAAAAAGCACAATTTTTCATTTTAGCGTATCTCCTCGCATTGTATGATTACTCAGTTGAATATCTATTGCTATTCTGAAAACTGCAACTTGCAAGTCTCAAGGATTTCCTATCCACACCCCATTCCCCCACCCCCTTCTCTCTCCGATGTCAGTGGACAATTGATTAGAGAGAGTCGTACGCGCTTTACTTCTTTTTTTATTGATAAAACATGTTCAATCAATCAATCTTTTTCGTAAAATGTTATTCATACTTCGCGAACTGAAATTAATTCATGTTCTCATGGGGATCGGTGGCCGAGTGGGCTAGCGCACACCATGCACATCAGCCTGGAGCACGTGGCGCGAAAGCTCGCGCTGAAGAACCCAGGGATCCTGGGTTCCCAGCCCTGCCCGCTGCGATCTTGATGAGCATCGTACCGGCGTGAGGTTGTGAACTTCTACTGGCGTTATGCACATTAAAGACCCCAGGCTAGCAGTTGTAGTGCACTGGCTAAGTCTTTCATCCCGAGGGTAACAATGTCGCCATGTTTATGGCAGACTAACCTTCCGCTGTATAAATAACTAATGACTAATTACCTTTATCAATTTCCTCACGATTTAATCTCACCAAACTTGGTATTTTTGTTTATTGCAATGACTTCGCTGTATCCCCAAAAGTTTACTTTTTTCCCCTTTGCTCAATAGATAAAAAGTAATTAGTGGCAACTTGAACTAATTCTCTTTCTGAGATAAGCTAACCCAGACTTCGTGTTCGTCCATGGCGTGCGTGGCATGTCACGTGACCTGGCGTCATGTGACGGCAGGTTGGGTGACGTCACGGTACAGAGTCGTAGTGCCACGTGACGCAACGGTGTCAACAACGTTATTGGAACAAGCAACAGAGGGGAAAAAGGGGAAAAGAGAGGAGGAGGACGCGAATTTCCGATAAGCTCTAATAATTTTTTTTTTCGAGCTGAAAATACGTTGGTGTTATATTATGCCTTTCTGAAGCACTTTAGACAATAAAAAAAAAATATCAAGGTTGGGTTTGTGCGTGATTCTCTAAAGGAACCGAGCGACGATATTGGGTAGGAATTCCAAGAATGGACAGTTGGGCTAGTTGGTAAATGTTCATGATGAAAAACGGCGCGAAACACAAAATACACAGAGGAGAGAAACACATACGGGACAAGGCGCTGACGATCGACTTTCACATTTTAAAAACACGGGGAGATGCGTAAACATCATGCTTCGCGAACATCACAGTTCGTTGAAAGGTGGAGGATACTCCCATTTCGCAATACATTACCGGGACTGCGGATGTGAACCACGGTTCAGTGACACAAATATACTGTACAAACACAAAACTCAGTTATCTCCGGAGATTATTCAAGCCTACCATATAAAGAAGAAAAAAAAAAGAAAAAACAACATGCGTGAGCCAACCGTCAATGAACCCCAGGCTAGAATGTACTCTCAGGCTGTACCTCAGGGACAGTGAGATGGCCTTTTGGACCTTGGATAGCTTCTCCTTTGAAGAAGACGAAAAAGAAGCGACCCCACAGTAAAAAAAAAAAAAGAAGCTACACCTCAGTGAAAGACAAATAAGACCCCATACCCGCGTGTTTTCAGTATGTATTTCTCTCCTCTCTGTCCTTGTGTTTCGCGCTGTTTTTTTATCACGGGTAGGAATGTTTCACACTTTACACAAGCTTACAGGCACTAGTGTGACCGAAGTATTGATGACGTCTGCGAAATCGACGGCACCCAGCGACAAGAACAAAAAGTTGTCACGGCAGGTTCGCATGCCAGCTTTATCGAGCGAATCAGATATTCACAACGCCTGACGGTCGATAGATTAAGCAGTGAAAGCAGGTTCAAAAACACGTAATGAAAATTACCTACACTGGCACGCAACGCCACTGACCGAGAAGCTTCTTTGTCACCGCGTAATTTCAGAAATAAAAGCGGACGTTATTATATCTCCTTCTCAAAACTTGGCAACGAAGTTGTGCGGATCGCATTATTGGCATTGTCAAGAATGAGAACCCCACGATTTCGCCATCAAGCATTGCTATCACCGCGGTGACGACATTTAAGTGCGTTTCGTGCAGTAGACACGAGCACTGCGTGAGCATTCGGTTTGGACTCGTGTGACACGCAATGCCTGGATATGCATTTGGGTAGTTGCTCTATGCCCAATCGCTGCGATGACGTGAACAGCCGACCCTTAACACTGCTTGGAGCTCACAGCGTGCCGTGTGCGATTTGCTAACCCCGGTGCGTGGCAATAAACATTGGTGACATGTAAATGGCCCCATATCACGTGGCCGCTTCTTGTGACTCCGAGTAGAGGGGGTGAACGCTGCTCGTTTTTCTCGATTCTTTTTTTTTTCTTTCTGCGACTTCAATTGCGTGGAAAAGAAAGTTAAAGCTTAAGTCCAGACGCAGTCGGTGCTACGAGCGCGAGCATATATGGTCCTGAACAGTGCTTGCACAGCACTTGTGCACGTGCTTGGCAGGGTCTCTGAAAGCCCGGAGCTCGCGTTTGTTGCATTGGCTGCGTTAGTGCCACTAAATACGCTACGCTTATTTAGTGGCACATTTATTGCCACTAAATAAGCTCATTTAGTGGCTCTAGGCTGCGTCTGGAATCTGCTGGAACTGGAACAGGTGAAACGAGGCATAACGCGTGTTTCATAGGTTATGATTGTCAGGCAATAATTCTACACGGTATTTACTGAAAGTACAAAATTGTTGCCTCGCCCTCTTTTAACGCGAATCACGTTAAAGGGGACGAAGCAACTGCAGTGACCGGGGCGGGGACTAGGCTAGACTAACTGAGCCCAGGATCTGCGAGTTCTGCAGCGCGAACTTTGGTACCTTTTGCTCGGAGCTGCGGCGAGTTGCTTGATGACAGCAGAATCACTCGTTTTAATAGAATTATAACTTGCTCGCACACCACACACAAACACTGCCTTATCGCCACAAGCCGTGTAGAACGCAGCAGTCAGACGCACCGGAGCGAAGAGAGGCGTTTTAATGCACTTCATAGAGAGTATTCACTGGACGCCATATTTGAGGGCGATGTTAAGAGCGTATGCTCAGAAGGAGCTCACATTGATAGGCTTCTAAGACCGGCAATCTTGATGGCTCGGAATGTACGTTGCAAAAGATCTGCGGAAGCTCGCCATCAGCACGCACTCAGTAGCCGTGCACACAGCAATGGCCGCCAGTGAATACTTTTTATAGGTACGCGCGAGTTTACGAGACATTCTTGATCAGTTTGTCACTTGACTTTCCTGCGTTCCAGTGGAACCAGAAGTAAAGTACGTGGCCAACATGCACGGCAACGAGGTCCTGGGTCGAGAGCTGCTGCTCGCCTTCGCCTGGTATTTGTGCGACGAGTACCGGCGCGGGAACGAGGACGTCTCCAGGCTCATCAATTCTACTCGGATACACATCATGCCCTCCATGAACCCCGACGGATGGGACACCGCAACCAATGTGCGACTTCCCAAGTTTTCTTTTTCTATTTTACTAAGCGGTATCCTATATCAGGACACTAATTGTATGCGATAGTGTTTCAGTCCAGAAATCTTGTCGCAAAGCTCCAAGGTTCTGAGATGATTCCAAATCACGACGTCATTACTGAAAGTGTTAACTGCCGAGCTAAGGCTGGACTCCATGGGACTTATATGCTGCGAAAAATCGACCAATTTTTCCCGGCGGCTTTTGCTCTGCACAAGAAATCAGCACAGGGGCTGCTACGTCGCGCGCAATGCGAGCGTGCCGTCGGGCAAAGTTCGTCAGTTATTCGTAGCATAATTTGCTTCATGGAGTTCAGCCTTTAGAAGTCGTTATTAGCGGCGAGATGTTTCGGTGGCGCCCTCCTACGGTTCCCCCTCGTGACGTCATTACCTTGCGAACAACAAGTTCGATGGTGTTCGTAAATAGCATGGTGGGAGTTTGAATTTATTGAGCTCTCAAAGCAACACTGCCAACACCGTCCAAATTAAAGTTCTTACATTCCTCTTATTTCCGTCGATGATAAATCCTTTGCTGACGTCATAGTCAGCATTCGGCCAGTCGTGGAAGGTCGACCACAGCGACGCTTTCGATCGCGCACGTCGCCAATAGTCATTGCATAGCCTCCTATGCACTGAAAAAGCCTGGCAGATCGCCGCGAGAAGCGGCAGCCGAAATGGAAAAGGTGGAGCGGCAGAGCCAACGGATGAGAGGAGAGCAACGTGATTGGCGTCCCGCAGCGGCGAGGCGCGGAAACACAGTTCTCCCGAGCGAACAAGTGCGTTTCGGGTCCTCGCCGATGCAAACGCTGTGCGCTGGCGTCCAGGTTCCCCGAAGGCACTCTATAGGCTCCCCGAGAAATGGCTCTTTAATGCTCTGCGCTACCAGATCCTCGCGCTCCAGATCTGCGACCGGGCACTTTATTGGCGACGTGCGAGATGAAAAGCGTCGCGGCGGTCGGTCTCCCACGATTGGCGGAATGCTTACTATGACGTCAGCAAAGGAGTTCTCATGAACGGAAATAAGAGGAACGTGAGGACTTCAATTTTGACGGTGTTGACAGTGTTGGTTCAAGAACGCTATGATTTCAAGCTTCCGCCATGCTAATTACAAGCACCATCGACCTTGTTGTTCGCAAGGTAATGACGTCACGAAAGGTAACCATACGAGGGCGCCACCGAGACATCTCGCCGTTAATGGCTCCGTCGTCGAACTGCCAGGCTTTGTGAGTATAGAGGAGGCTATGGTCCTGCTTTCGTTGCGCGTGCATGCTCGAAGCTCACAAAACGCCGTTAACGAAGGTTGAAATATGCTCGCGCTGGAGGCGGGACAACTCAGAGTCCTCCCCGGCGTTTTCATCCTGTTAATGATTATGGCATAATTATTTCTTTTATCGTTCGATGGTCTCTAGTCTCCGTCTGGTGACTGGATCTTGGGAAGAACCAACGCCATGGGGGTGGACCTGAACAGAGACTTCCCGGACCTTGAGAAACTCCTGCCAGGAAACCCCAACACCAGGCGCATCAGAGCAGACCACCTCTTCACGGGAGATCTTGACCACAGGGTAAATAGAGGCATCTCATTTAACATTTATACGTAAAAGCGAGTAAAGCCTACGTCTGAGTTCTTATCTCCTTCATCCTCGCTGGCCATGCGATATGCCGTCTGATAACTGGCGGTTCACATTTCACATGACTTCCTTCATCAGTCGATATCATAAACTGCGAAAATGAGGTGCGATTGTATGATGGCGCAGTTTGTTTTAAACCCAAACCGTACACACACACACACACACATATGGGTCGTTTCATTTCAAATCGAACACACTGGTCGGGGTGGGTACTCACATTTTTCTCAATTAAATATATATAATAGCCCCACGTGGAAGAACAAAACTGATTTTAAAAAATTTAATATATTTTCGGTTTACGAAAAAATATTAGGTAGAGCAAAGTGAAAATCCAATTTTGCGTGTTTGATTTTTGTACACAGTTCTGTTACTTGTTATGCATACTGAGAAGATTAATATATTTATTAAAACAATTCGTGTAAATCTATTGTATGTCGAGTATTTTCTGTTACACACTTGACAAATAAGCCAAATGTCATTACCGAGATAAAACAAATGCCAAACATTGTACCTTTGACGTTCGGGTGACATATTCGGAGCCTTGTATCTCCATATGTTTTTTTAATTAACGCTTACCAAATACTGCCCTCGTGTAGTCTTATCAGTGGCGTATAGGCTGAGAGTACTTTTGTTCAATTTATAGCCACGGATTATTTTATATTAATTTTCAAACTTCATAAAAATCTAAATATAATCATGTTTTGAAACTTTTATTTAAAAAATATTTATAATTTCTGTAATAATTACCAGTCATATTGCTTTTCTAGTGGCGTGATCTGAATTCCCCCTTTTTTTGTTGTATTTTCGTTAGAAGACTTCAATATCAGGTCCATGCACCGGAATCAGCAAAAGGCTCGAGGGTCACCTAAGCACTTATGAGTTGTGAATGTGAAACCATGAATGCCGTTGTTCCGCTCTCTTAGCTTGTCTACGGCGTACTGTTGTATAGACGGCCACGTCTCGCTACTGCCGAGCTTGGGGCGGACGGCCGAGCGCGCGCTCTCGTGAAGTGGCCGTGCCGCGCTGAGCTCGGCCTACACCGTGGCTCGGCCGTAAGCCGCTCCGGAGTGTGCCCGAGCGGGCCCTCTGCCTCGCTCGGCAGCCAGCCGCTTCGCTTTACCGGCGCGCTGCGGCGCTTGCGGCGCGGGCGCGCAGCGCCATAAGGTGGCGTTCCTTGAAACTGACGCTCGCCGGCCAATGGGAGCCTCGTTCCTTGAAAGTATGACGCGCCAGTCAATGGGAGGTTGGGAGCCTATCCATCAGATTTCGGCTTCACTTCGCTTCATTGGGAGAGGGGAATTTAGCTGCCGTTTGACGCGGCTTTTGGCGCGGCTTCAAGGCTGGGAGCCTTCAGATCGCGGCTTCACTTCCCCCCATTGGGAGAGGGGAGTTTAGCTGCCGTTTGACTCGGCTTCAAAGTTGATGACGTCGGCTCGTTCCATGCGACAGTTAATGCTTTCGCATTAAAAAGCTATGTTCCGCAAGTTCACTTTGCTTCAATGTTGATATATTCTACCCTTGGGGTCAACTTTCTGTGGCAATGCAGTCAAAAGTAGGAGCGCGTGCGTTCGCGCACTTTGAGCACCGGTAAAAGCTGGACAGGAGCGCGTTTCGAGGAGAGCGCGGGCTTAGCTTCAATCGGCGCTCAAAGTGCACGAGCGTACGCCCTCCTACTTTTGACTGCATTGCCACAGAAAGTGGACCCTGAGTATAGTTTCCAGCCTGAAGGGCTAAATATTTGTGCCAAATCAATTAGAGGAGCATTGTTTTCTTGTGAAAAGCGCTATTCGACTAAATTAAAAAGCACTGACACATCAAAATCATTTTTTTCTATTATCCGAAACGATTGAAAACGATGCCGGGACATTACCCTCAAAATTCGAAAGTTGGGAATTCAGTATTTGTGAAGTAAAAAAACAATTTCCAAATGCCGGATTTGAAGTTCCCGCGCGATCCGCGCCAGTGCGGGGACGTCAAATATTGCTGAGTCCTGCGAGTCGACTTTCTTTCACGCCTCCCAACCGCCGTTGGCCGTTGCCACCGCGGCCCGAAGCGAGGAGATGAGGAGCGAGAGAGTAGGGCGCCGGCAGACCGGGAAAAACCGGTTTCTTTGTCCAATTCCCCGACTCACTGATCATCCGAGGGAGGATACAAATCCAAGAGGCGACATCACACCGGACTCTAATTTTCGGTATATCAAAAAGAAGGGCCGTGGTGCGTTCGCGATTGCGTTAAAAAACATGTTTGGGGACTGCCGTTAAAGGCCGGTCTACACATGCAGCGAAGCGCTAATGTAGCGCTTCTCACGTGTCGTCTGCTACTTATTGTCTGCCATGAACAACAGTATTGACGGTGCGACACAAAGCTGGTGAACGCTCCCGTCAGCACGCGCTTAGCGCGAGGTCAGCGCTACGCTTGTGTCGTCCACAAAGCTTCTAAATTCCATGATTTTCGACCTCACCAATCAAAAGAAGCGAGAAGGTGAGCAGCGGGAGGGAAAAACGCCAAAAATAAAAAAGGTGCGCACGCCGTTTCGCACGGGAGACAAGAAATGGCGCAAGCGGTCGCGATTCACTGCGCCAACGAACGAGCATACGGCGCCGAGAGCCGGCGCCTTTCGCAGACGATCTTTTCGACTCAAAAGCGGCGCGAGCTTTTTTGACATCGGTTGCCAAGTCATTATTTTATCATCCTCACTGATAAAACATATTGAATGGACACATTCCAGCGGACAAAGCATGCAGTATTATGCTCAGTTACGGGGACATGCGAGTGCCAACGCACTAAATCCCAGACCTCTGCAACGTATCGGAGTCGTCAATATGCATCCAAGAGCAACTGAAGGCGGGGACTATCAAGAGGGCAATACCTTTACCGTGTCTGTAAGTAAGAATATACACTGTGGATCCCCACATAGCATCAAAAAGAAACAATTTACGTGAGCCAATATCTCAACGCTCACCACAGGGAGCCGAACCTACGCCCGAGCAGGTGCCTAAAACTCTTTCAGTCTTATCATAATCAAGCAAATTCCTACCCTCGATTATGATATCGATTACGCGTCTACCACGGGTACGTTATTATCATAAATGAGAAAAAATGCAACCTCCGTATCGGCGTTATTGTTAAACATCGCAGACATTTGAGCAAGAGCTGCGAAAAATGGCACCGCGAGCAGAGACGGACAAGCAGTGTCGTCTGCTATCGCCGTCTGCTCTTGTCGTCTGTTTCTGCGTGGACGCTGAACTGAGTCCGGAGCCGGTGCAACATTTTGAGGAACTGGGTCTGACCTCGTTCAGAACTGGGATGAATCGAACGCGCCAGTGCAGCGGTCGTGCAACTTCCAGTTGAATCGAATGCACCCGTTCCTGCACTGCTGAACTAGTTCAGCCAGTTCAAGCGAATCGAACAGACCTAAAGTGACTGATCCGATTTGGGCGAGGAGTAAGTGGACGTAGTTTAATATCGTTGGCACAGCATATATTACAATTTCTGTTGGTAGTTCCTGATAGACTACTATATTATCTAACTGAATAAAAAAATAGAACAAATAAAAGCTGTTTTTTTTTTTGTTTTTTTTTTTTTAGAAAATCGACTCCAAACTTGCTAGTTTTTCGAATTATCTGTTTTTTAGGCACATGGAGCGCATTATATATTTATTGCAAAACATTGGAATTATACTCAAAAGAAGGAGCTTAATAGGAGCTTTACGGTGATGTAAAGATCATAAAAATATTTTGATTAGGTCAGACAGCACAGCTTGCTGAACTTCGTCAAATACCGTCGCAGAGAGGCGGTTTGACAGATAAAAAACAAATACATTAAGAATGCCATGACCTAGACGCTTAATTAGCATTAAAAAAAAATACATGTCGAGAGTGTTCCCAAAAAGTTATATTGGTGTAGCGTAAAAAGTAGGGAAAAGGGGTGGAGTGAAATATGGCACCCCCGATAAGGTGGAAAAACGACAGTTTCCACCTTGGCCGCTTCAACGATCCATAACTTGAGAATCAAAAAATCCGACGAACTTACCGTTTACGTCTTCTTTTATGATAGGAATTGCCCGATAATATTATTTTTTAATTAAAAATTCGACTTAAAATTCGTGCCTGAGTTCAGATTAAATCACCCATATATATATATATATATATATATATATATATATATATATATATATATATATATATATATATATATATATATATATTGTTTCGGGAGTTCTTTATGTGCTTGCCAATTTTGAGTCTTATGAAGCCGGGGATGATTCTTATCAAATTTAATGCAAACAGTAACGTTTCGGGATAACAAAAAAATCAAGATTTTGATGCGATTGAGCGCAAGTTCGTCTGCCTCTTGCACAGGGGTTGCGATAATGTCAGAACACCAAACTCTTATTGGCTGATTGGAAGAAAACATTATAGTGGGTAGACCTCGAGGCATATGCACTGAGGTCTACCCACTATCCTCTCAATCTAAGCGAATCAGAGCTCCGGCGCATAAAGCGGACGACTTGCTCTCGGCACTGTCGCATGTAGCAGACTCAGTCATTTTTCGGTGAAAACGTTTTTTCCAGCCTCGTCGTTGGCCAAGCTTATTTGCTTTCTCCGTTTCACTTTAGGGCCGACTGCAGCCGACGCTTTACCATCCTGCGCTTTTTTCCCCTACGTGTTTTTGGTTTAGCCAGTGCGAGGGTGGGGGCACAAGGACAATAAGCACCGAAATGTTGTACTTTTGGCGCTGCTTGGTTGACTGAATCGGATGCGGTTCGGACTAAAGTGAAACGGCCCATAGATCCGACAGTGATTGGTTTTCCGAGCTCTCCGCGGGAAAGCTTATACGGACGGACATTTTGTTTAGAATATAGAATATAATCTTACTTTAGGGTTCCATGCTTTCGGTGTTGATTTTCTTCAGATTCGTTCTTTTTTTTTTAATCGGTGTTTATTTTTTATTTTTATTTAAATCGGCGTTTTTCTGTGTCTAATTTTAATTCCGGGGATAAATCGGTGTTTATCGGGCTTGTTTCGTAAATCGACTGAATAATTACCAGATAAAATATTATAATTTATCAGTTATAGATTATATTTTCTCCAGTAATGCTGGTAATAACAGAAGAGAATGGGGCAAGGAATGTGGTTTCGATAGAAAGGAACAACCCCAAGGCCAGCTCAGTGCGGCTGTATTCCGAGATAACCAGAAAACAAAAAGGAAAAGGGAAAAAAGTAGAGTATGGAATTTCTTCCCGTCAAGCTGGCGTTTTATTTATCTTTTGATGATTGTTTTAATTTGGGGTTTCTTGGTTTCCACCGATTCAGAGAAAACCGCCTCGGGGATTAATTTTCGGTGTTTATCGGTATATACCGAAAACATGGAACCCATTTGTATCAAAGCGACCGAGACACGTTCTAGTCCACTTTGCGACATAAGATGTTTGATCAATACACCTTGGAAAAAGTTTTACAATTGAAATCAAATACATGTTGATGAGTATAGTAAAACATTTTGTTCAAGGAACTACGAGAGTTTTTGTTGTTACGCACAAGCCCATACCTAATATGGCGGACTGAATTCGATGAATATCTTTAGTTGCGTGCCTAGCTCAGGAGTCTGTCACTGCTCCAACTTGAATCACATGAACGGTGAAACTGCTTTTTACGATTCTAGAAGGTTAGTGGAGATGTTCGATCGATCGGGCACATATATCCTTTCCGAAACTTACTTTGTATCTGGGGACGAAAACTCGCGCGTTCTACCTCGCGTTAGTACCTGTATAGGGACTATTCACTGAACGCCATATTTGTGGGTGCTGTTTAGAACGCATGCTCAGAACGAGCTCACATCAATAGGCTGCTAAGACCGGCACTCTTGATGGTGCGGAATCCACGTTTCAAAAGAACTGGGGAAGCTCGCCATAAGCACACGCTCAGCAGTCGTGCACACAGCTATGGCCGCCAGTGAATACTTCCTATAGTTCGAAGTATCGCGCGGGAAAAGGACGCTGAACGGTGCGATTGCCTTCTGTGCAGGTTCAGCCCGAAACGCGAGCGGTGATGGAATGGATCCTCACGATTCCATTTGTCCTCTCCGCGAACTTCCACGGCGGCGCGCTCGTGGCAAATTACCCCTTCGATAATACGCTGGATGGAACTCAGAAGCGGTACACCCCATCTCCGGACGATGCTACATTCAGGTAGGTGACTTTTTTTTCTTTCTTTTTCGATGATCGATTTTATGCGGTTACCTTTGCGCTCTCCCAACACCCCCTAGTGGAAAGCCGTAGCGAATTTTATATGTCACCCATGGGCGGCACATATTGAAGGACAGGAGGGCTGTGCTAGCATTCGGCCGGAACTCGCGTCGAATATGCGACTCGCTTTGGGTCTCGGTAAATTTCGTAGAAAACTTTGACACGGTACAGTTCTCCCGCTCTCAGATCAGCCCGGCTGTGTGCTAACTCAGAGGGGGCAAAGCAGGCGCGTTTCATCTTACCGTGCACCTCAATGGACGCTAAGCTACGTCAACCAGTCCAGCTTCTCCAGGCGTGCCACGTAGCTTCACGCTCCGCCGAAACGGGAGGCCACGTGGCAGGGCCCGAACTATGGATTGGCTCCGGCGGCTCGTGGCATCCGTCGTCGCTGTTCATCGTCAGGTGAAATGGAGCGCACTTTCCTTCCATGGGGGGCTGTCTTTCCTCCGCGTAGCGCGCGGCTGTGCTGCGGCAAAGCAAGACATATAGATTCACGATGACTACTCCGCGGAGGTTACTTTTCCGCAATACACCAGCGCACGGTGAGAAGCGCACTCAACGGAGCTTGCTAAACCTCCCAAACAGCTAGGCCACGAACAGTGAGGAATTGCAGTATTCTCTAAGAAGATCAGATCAAAGCGTACTTGTGTGTGTATATATATATATATGGGTGGTTTCATCTCAAATCGTGCAGGCAAAAAAGGTCGAATTTTTTATTTCGATGAAAAAAATATATGTTATGGCGCCGTTTCTAAAAACGCAGTCGCCACAACTCGCAAGTTCGTCGGATTTTTTGTTCTCGACTTATGAATTTTTAAAGAGGCCGCGGCGAAAAGCAGTGTTTTTCACACCCGTCGTGGGTCGGATGTTTCACTTGATCTCCCGCCATGAATTTTCAGTCCACATTATACTATCTTTTTTCAAGCACTCTGTGTACACATTTAAAAGGCTCCAATACCATAAAATAATTTTAGGCGTTTTTCTTTTTTTCTGTAAAAATGTCAAAAACGCCCCCTCGGTCAATTGTTGACGAACTTTGACAATTAATTACTGGCGATCTACTTGGGTTACATCGATAATTTTTATCTCCACGGAGAGCCCAAAACACGTTCTTTGTATGTATTATAAAATAACTTGGCTGTATAAAATATTCTTTGCGGTGCTTTTACGTTTATGTTATGTGAAAACCAAAAAGTACCAGTTTTGAAATTGATTTTCCCAAAAAAACCATTTTTTATTTTTTTATTTTTTGTTAAAATGTAGATGTGATAGTTTTCTACGCGAAAATCAAGTCGAGAAAGTATATTTTGTTTGCATGTTCTATATTTAAGCATCAATATCGTACAAAAACGTGTTTTTACGGCTTGAAATGGACTTGCGAATTGCGCGTCTTCACAAGCTTGGAAATAGTTTTTTTCTTTTTTTCAACGTTCCCACATAAAAATGAAATACAGTATTTTCACCCTGTTATATTTATTGAATATTTAAATTTTATTATAGGCGGCAAGCTACATCGGAGGAGTTCCAAAAAGAGAAAGCAACACTTCTTAACAGACCAGCAGGTGTCGTAAATTTTTAACGTGTAGGAGTCGGCAGACGTCGTATTGATTCGGGGCCCTCATTGGCCTGCGTGAACGTCCCGCCCTTTCGGAGCCAGCAGATGACTACGACCTTTCACGCTCGTTGTGTTATATAGACCGTTTTATCGTGGGTAGCGCCATTTTGAGAGCGAGAGAGAAGGGGAAAGGGCTACCGGCGCTTTCCTCCTTTCTGATTGTGTAGAAAGAGTGAAAATCCCGGATGAGAGGCTTGGCCGGTGTTGAGTGTCTGCTGTGCCCCAACTTCGTTCGCGCTTTCTTCTACGTTTTATGGCGCACCGTGAATTCACGAGGGCGCCCATCAAACCATTCGGCCAATCTTGGCCGCGACACGATCACATGGTCGTGTTGCCGCGGGGTCGATCGGGATCTCGAATTCGGCTCCCGACGCGCCGCTTTCTCTCCTAGCCACTGGAGGGCGCTGCAGGCGCCCCCGTGGCAGGCGAGGAGAAACCTCCTCGCCCATCGATAGATATACTCGGTGGGGCAGGGGGCGAGAGGCCTCTAAGAACTTCGGACGAGACCGAGACGCAGGCAGGCAAGTGGGTGGCGACCGGATCTGGATATCGCGGGACGCGAGGCCTAAGGGCCTACTTTGTGTTTAGCGTTGGTCTTAACGTGCGTTTGTAAATATTTGTATAATGTCGCGTGTATTTGTAGTTTAGATTAAGTGTTTTGTAGCGTTGTGTTTTGTTGTACGAATAAACTGGGAGCGGAATCCCGCTCCCGTGAAAGAACCAGGCTGGACTCGGGTTGTTGACGGACCACGTGGGAAACGGCGAATCGGCGTCGGTACGCGATTTCCTACAAATGGCGCCCAACGTGGGGCAGTACCCCAACACCAATGATGATGCCGGTGTGGGCCAGGAAATCCCGCCCCAGAATGGTTCTTTCACGGGAGCGGGATTCCGCTCCCAGTTTATTCGTACAACAAAACACAACGCTACAAGACACTTAATCTAAACTACAAATACACGCGACATTATACAAATATTTACAAACGCACGTTAAGACCAACGCTAAACACAAAGTAGGCCCTTAGGCCTCGCGTCCCGCGATATCCAGATCCGGTCGCCACCCACTTGCCTGCCTGCGTCTCGGTCTCGTCCGAAGTTCTTAGAGGCCTCTCGCCCCCTGCCCCACCGAGTATATCTATCGATGGGCGAGGAGGTTTCTCCTCGCCTGCCACGGGGGCGCCTGCAGCGCCCTCCAGTGGCTAGGAGAGAAAGCGGCGCGTCGGGAGCCGAATTCGAGATCCCGATCGACCCCGCGGCAACACGACCATGTGATCGTGTCGCGGCCAAGATTGGCCGAATGGTTTGATGGGCGCCCTCGTGAATTCACGGTGCGCCATACTCCCCTCTCCTAAAAATCGAAGTACGCCGGAATTCAGACGTACGGCTAGGCTGCTGAAAACATCGTCGCTTGGTTTGGCCTGGAGACCCCCCCCCCCCACCCCCCCCCACACGCACACACGGAGATGCCAAGTGGCAGCACGCGCTCGCGTACCTGGACGACATCATTGTGTACTCGGAAACTTTCGAGGACCACCTTCGTCACCTTGAGGACGTGTTGCGCAAACTACGGATCGCCGGCCTCACACTAAACCCGACTAAAGCCCAAATTGGAGCTTCTGAGATCAGCTTGTTGGGTTTCCGGATCGAGAGAGGAAAAGTTTCCCCCGACGCGGACAAGTTGCGGGCGATCTTGGAGTTCCCAGTCCCTACCGATGTCGGGGGGAGTGCGCCGTTTTCTCGGCATGATAGGATACTACCGAGCCTACATCCCGAACTGCGCAGCCATGCAGGCACCCCTCACGCAATTGCTGAGGAAAGCGGCTCCCTGGAGCTGGGAGGCGCCGCAGGAGGAGGCGTTCCTCCAGCTGACCGAGGCCTTGGCGCGTACAACATCCCTCAAACTGCCAGACCTGAATAGGCCCTTCACGATCCAGACGGACGCCAGCGACCAAGGACTCGGCGCGGTGCTCTTGCAGGAGACAGGAGGAGAGATCCGCCCGGTGGCATTTGCCAGCCGGGCGCTGAACCCGGCAGAGAAGAACTACACGGTGAGTGAGCGCGAATGCCTCGCCATCATTTTTGCTCTTAAGAAGTTCGATCATTATGTCGAGGGGACGGAATTCACGATCGAGACGGACCATATGGCCCTCGCGTGGCTCTCCCGAATCAAGGAACCCGCCGGAAGACTGGCGCGCTGGGCCTTGACACTGCAGAAGTACGAGTACCGAATTCGGTACCGGAAGGGCACGACAAATGTGGTGGCCGACGCGCTCTCCCGCGCACCCGTGGATCCCCCACCGCGCGAGGCAGCAGACTACGGAGGCGGGGCCATCCCCCAGGAGACGGGAAATCCCGCCTCGCGCTCCGCTCGTCACTGTGGCGGCGTCGCGCAGCTGGCTGAGGCGATTACCTCTCTGGGACCTGCGTTCAACCGAACGGAACTGTACGAAGCACAGCAGAGCGATTCGTTTTGTCGCGCTATCTTCGACCGGCTCAGGCAAGAGATGGATCCTGACCAGACGGGCGAAAAGACGCTCCGGCACTCCGGAACACCGAGAGGGCCAAGCGCCATCGCCCAGGAGTCAGACATCGAAGCAGGTGAGCTGGAATCTTACCTGATCGATGGGGACGGCGTCCTGCTGCGCTACTTCCCGGAAGAGAGCGATTCAAGTGAGTCGTTCAAGACCGTGATTCCCCGCGATCTCAGAGTGGCAGCGCTGCGTCACTACCACGATGCGGACGGTCACGGCAGTGCACCGAAGTCGTGGCATAAGCTTCGCCGTTTCGCTACCTGGCCGGGCATGAAGGGGCAGCTGTGCCGTTATGTCCGTAGCTGCGCAGTGTGCCAAGAGCGCAAGCCCAGGGGCGGCAGACCACTCGGCCTGCTCGAGCCCATCGTGAGTACGCGGCCATGGGAGATCGCAGCCTGCGACTTGATGGGACCCCTGCCGCGGTCAAGCGGAGGCTATCAACATGTGTTGGTAGTCACTTGCCACTTCACCGGATTCGTCGAGATGTTTCCAATGCGGAAGGTGACAGCCAAGGGAGTCCTGAGCAGGCTGTCCGAGGTCTGGTGTCGCTACGGGTTCCCCGAGAGACTGGTGAGTGACAACGCCTCGATATTTTGCTCGAAAGTCTTCGCGGCAACCTGCCAGGCCCTCGGGATTAAGCATTGTAAGACTTCGTGTTACCATCCACAAGCAAATGTGACCGAGCGGCGGAACCGCGACATCAAGCCGCTGCTCGGGGCGTATGCTCGAAAGCAGCGGGACTGGGATCTGCATTTGGATTCGATTTCGTTTGCATTGCGGTCCAACCTCAACCGCAG